TTATTTTTTTTTTTTATAGTTTTTTTTTTTTTTATAGAGGCATGTTTTTATTTATTTATTTATTATATTTGTTTGTTTTGTTTATACATGCACTGGGTACAGTCAGAAGCGCGGGAGGGTGAGAGAATTCACCAGAGCCAGAGCGGGGAGCAGAGCAGGCAGAAGGGCTGAAGTACACTGCTGAGGGGAGCAGCGGGTGGCAGGAGAGGTCTGCGCGCCATGTGGGATCCTCCTCCGGTGGCCGGGGAGCAGCCGGGGATCGAACCGGCGCCGCAGAGGCCGCGGGCAGCTTCGCAACCCAGCGCTCAACCGCTGCGCCACCGGGGAGGCCCAATACTGGAATAATTTTGAGAGCTTTGAGTGCTTGAATAGGGCCCAATTCCAGAGGCCTGCCCCACACCCATTTCTTTATGTCTTCTGAGTTCTCAGGTAAACGAGGAATGAGAAAGAGAATAGGAAAGAAAGGAGACAAAGAGGCTGACTCCCCCGCAGTGTTTTCTTCCCTTGTGGTGGTTTGCAAAAAGCTGTAGAGATGCTAATGCTTCTTAACAAGCTGAAAGCAGCTTTAGAATTTTGTATTGACATTCTTGAACCTCTGGCTGGACAGTGTTCCTCCTTCCACATTCCACATCATCCTTCATCTAATCCTGGTGCTTGAGAAACTGGCTTTCCATAGTCTATTATCATGTCCTCACAGGCTTGTATTCAAGGGCCCTCTCCCCTTCCCTTCCTTAAGACTAAATGAAATAAACAGGGAGACAGTTTAAATGAGTGGTGTCTAAAGTCATAAAATAACAGTGATTCTTTTTTGTTTGTGGTTTTGTGGGGAGAATGAATAATCATATAATTTCAGTTGAGTGAATCATAAAGATTTCCAGCACATGACCTCATAGGCCAAAACCAGAAGACAACTAAAAATCTCTGCAAGGGCCTCCATTTCCTCATTCAAGAGGAAGGTAAGGCCCATGATATTCCATTTTAATGATTATCCCCAAATTCTTTTTCTGTACCCAACACAGGAAAGTGTTGCCAAGTACAGAGTGTCAAATAGGTGAAGAACAACGGGCGAGGGTCCCACATGGCGCGCAGACCTCTCCTGCTGTCCGCTGCTCCCCTCAGCAGTGTACTTCAGTCCTTCTGCCTGTTCTGCACCCTGCTCTGGCTCTGGTGAATTCTCTCACCCTCCCCGCGCTTCTGACTGTACCCAGTGCTTGTATCAATCAATAAATAAATCTCAAAAAAAAAAAAAAATCGCTTGAGGATGTGAGTTGTTGAGTAACGGTGTTTAAGAAATTCTAATTTTTTTTAAAGATTTATTTCCATTCATTTATGGGGTGCAGGCCAGAGGTGGGGGAGGGGTGAGAGGACCCACCAGAGACAGAGTGGGGACCGGAACAGACAGATTGACTGAAATACACTGCTGAGGGGTGCAGCGGACAAGACAAGAGAGGTCTGCTGCACCATATGTGGGTTATGCTCCCTGGCCAGGGCATGGAACTCGGGCCACAGCAGTGAGAGCAGCACTGAGACTTAACCCCTACACCACCAGGGAGACCCCAGGAAGTTCTAAATTATAACAGCAATAAATGGGGCAGCTAACGAGCTGTCACATATTAGGCAGTCTTTCTGGATTTCTTCCTCTTGTTACAGGGCAGGGAGAGGGGCAGCCCAAACCCCGCAAACCTGCCTATTCTAAATGGGTTCTGCCATCTGCTGCATCAACACAAAACATATGAGACTTTAATGGGAAGGAACTTTAATACAACTAGGAAACAATACAGGAAAGGCAAAGAATTTAGTTTCTAAATCAAGCACCCAAAGTTACCCATCCCCTCGTGGGTAAAACTCCATCCAAATGGGATTGGCCCAGAGCAAGGCCCCAAAGCCTGCCACAAGTCTAAAGCATCTTCCAGTGGGGACCCACAGAAAAGGGTCAGAAACAACCAGACAAGCCCGGAAGGAAAAGAGCAAAATCAACATCAAGATAAAAGCTGCCATTGTCACCTCCCCACGGGTCTCACCCACATCTGTATCACCCAGTCCACGACCAAAAGACAAACGCAGTTTCTTCACGTGTCTCTAGGCTCCATGTGCCTCCTCTAGGTCTCCTTCTGTCTCCATCCTACTTCCTTCCTCAGTCTCCTCTGCAGCTTCTTCTCTCCCTGCTCAGCTCCACCTTCCCTTGGGTCCCCCTTTCCTGGGGACCACCCTGTTACACTCTGAAACTTAGATAGCTCTGCCAGCTTCCTAATTCCAAGATTCTGTGATTTGTTCTGATTTGAGTGTGCAAGAATACATTGAGTATCAGTACAATAAAGTCTGTTTCAAGAATTGAAAAAAAAGAAATGTGGTTAATATAAAATAAACCGTATCTTTCTTAGCAGATCTTGTCTTTCAAACTATGAGCTCATGAACAACTACGGGTAAAGATTCGTTTCTGCTTTATTTCTGCTTTATTACCTATTTCTATCTTACTGTTTTATTCTCTTGTGAATTCCCTATTTTCTGTGAAATCTTGAACTTATCAATGATGGTTTTATCTAATATAGCACTTTTTAGGAATGTATCCATCAGTAACAATTCTGAAAACTCAGATTCTCATGAATTATGTTCTAACTGGTAGCCATACAGACAGAAATTTATATCTACTTATGTTTTCATTTGCTACTTTCATTAAGAGAAACAAGTTTTATGTCCTTTTTAAAAAATCTCACACTTGGGCCTCCCTGGTGGCACAGGGGATAATGTGTCAGTGCTATCAAGCTATTACCAGCCACTGTGCTTGAAGCATGAGTTTGATTCCTGGCCAGGGAGCTGACCCACATGGCACAGCAGACCTCTCCTGTCTTGCCCGCTGTTCCCCTCAGCAGTGTATTTCAGTAGATCTGTTTATTCTGCTCCCCATTCTGTCTCTGGTGGGTCCTCTCACCCCCCCCCCGATCTCTGGCCAACACCCCAGTTCTTGTATGCATAAATGATCTTAGCCAAAAGGCCGAGAAGCAATAATAAATAAATATATCTAAAAGAAAAAAGAACTTGTTTGAAAGAGAAACTAGCTTCTTGAATAAAATTAGGAGTCTATTTATTGGAAAATTTTAGCTATTTGTGCTTGAGCTAAGACTATACTTTCAGGGATCATTTCTATAGTTTGTTACTATTTGCGCTACAGCTGAGGGAAAAATACATAAAATATGTGGGCTGTAATTAACAAGGTGTCATATACCTTTCTCTTTATTGCACACAAAGTATTAACTAAGTCTGATATTTCCTCTATTAATATTCCCTTTTTGACACAAAGATAGAAATAATGAATAAGGTCTTTCCAGATTATATCCCATATTAAAGTATAGAAAGAAAAGAATTATATAACTTAACATGGTAATTCATATGTGAATGATATTAGCCAAGGATTATACCCAGTTAAAAAGATATAGTACGTATTTATAAAAGTATGTAAATACTTTCGCTACATTTAATACTTTCCTGTTACTCCATTTTTCCCTTTGTAGCACAGACTTTATTTATTTATTTATTTATTTATTTATCTATTTATTTTTTTTTTATTTATTTTTATATATAGAGGCATGTTATTTATTTATTTATTTGTTTGTTTGTTTTGTTTATACATGCACTGGGTACAGTCAGAAGCGCGGGAGGGTGAGAGAATTCACCAGAGCCAGAGCGGGGAGCAGAGCAGGCAGAAGGACCGAGGTACACTGCTGAGGGGAGCAGCGGGCGGCAGGAGAGGTCTGCGCGCCATGTGGAACCCTCCTCCGGTGGCCGGGGAGCAGCCGGGGATCGAACCGGCGCCGCAGAGGCCGCGGGCAGCTTCGCAACCCAGCGCTCAACCACTGCGCCACCGGGGAGGCCCTATCTATTTATTTTGTAGCACAGACTTTAAACATTTCTTTAGTCAGACACTCTTTTTTTTTTTTTTTTTAAATAGAGGCATGTTTTTATTTATTTATTTGTTTGTTCATTTTTGTTTATACATGCACTGGGTACAGTCAGAAGCGCGGGAGGGTGAGAGAATTCACCAGAGCCAGAGCGGGGAGCAGAGCAGGCAGAAGGGCCGAAGTACACTGCTGAGGGGAGCAGCGGGTGGCAGGAGAGGTCTGCGCGCCATGTGGGACCCTCCTCTGGTGGCCGGGGAGCAGCCGGGGATCGAACCGGCGCCGCAGAGGCCGCGAGCAGCTTCGCAACTCAGCGCTCAACCGCTGGGCCACCGTGGAGGCCCTAGTCAGACACTCTTGGTGTTACTTTATCAAAAACACTTAACCTGAGTCACTTTTCACTTCTTTCTCTACAAACCATTTCCTGAAAGAAGAGTTACTTAACTATGGATACTTGGATCAAAATTCCTTCAGAGGGTCTTTAGCATGTCAGTTAAAAACCATTTCTGGAGCTGGATGATTTGCTTTCAAATTTTGCTTTTGTTGGGCCTCCCTGGTGGCGCAAGGGGTTAAGCACCACTCTATGAAGCATACACAGCATGAATTTGATCCCCGGCCAGCCAGGGAGAAACCCACATGGTGCAGCAGACCTCTCCTGTCTCACCCTCTGCTCCCCTCAGCAGTGTATTTCAGTCAATCTGCCTGTTCTGCTCCCCACTCTGTCTCTGGTGAATCCTCTCTCATACACATACTCACACACACACACACACACACACACACACACACACACACACATCTCTGGCCTGTATCCCAGCTCTTATATGCATAAATAAATAAATCTTTAAAAAAAACCCCAAATTTTGCTTTTGTTTGTTGTCTTTTGTTCATTAAGCTTATAAATACTTAACTGAGCATCTACCTGATAAATAAAAAGTCTGCGCTAAGCAATGTAAGAAGTATAAAGATTTACTAATTTTTTTTTAACTTCTGAGAAACGTTCGTGGAAATGGGCATAACTTCATTGAAGTAAAAACAGATGTAGTTGAAAGTTGTCAGGCCTTAAGCTAGAGAATTCATATGAAATTGTGATTCTAAGCATTACTGTACCTTTTAACAACTGTGAACAAGACTGGTTCTGGAAAAGCCTGCGGTGGTTTGTTCTTTGCACAGTTCAGCGGAGACTAGCATCCTTCTAGTTTGTAGCAGACATTATTCAAGAATCTTATCTATGGGGTAGGTGACATGTCCTGAACTATGCCCCCACAGAACATTGAATGGGTGGAAAAAGGAGGTTGTGGACAGTCTTGCTCATGTCACAATGTTGGCCATGTGACTTAAGAGAAGCAGGTGGCAGGTCAAGATGACTAGACTATTTCATTATCAAACCTGGACTCTAAAGTGACTCAAAGGCAAATTAAGTTTATTTAAGCTCTCTGTGGATCCACACAGTGCATTCTTGTGTTGTTTATGGATCAACTGAATATATATTTAATCTCACTTAATCCTTATAAAAACCTAATGAAGTATTATTATATACCCCATTTTATTTTATTTTTTTAACATTTCTTTATTTATGCATACAAGAGCTGGGGTATAGACCAGAGATGTGAGAGGGTAAGAGGATTCACCAGAGACAGAGTGGGGAATAGAACAGGCAGATTGACTGAAGTACACTGCTGAGGGGAGCCGTGGACGAGTCAGGAGAGGTCTGCTGCGTCATGTGGGTTGCTCCCTGGCCAGGGATTGAACACGTGCTACAGAGGCTGTGGATTGCTTCATAGTGCCGTGCTTAACCCCTTGTAAGACCAAGAAGGCCCTATTTACCCCATTTTAAAGATAAATTACCTGGGATACAGAGAGATTAAGGAACTTGCCAAAGATCTCACAACTGGTAAGCTACAAAGCAAAATTTGAAAGCAAACCATCCAGCTCCAGAAATGTTTTTTAACTGACATGCTAAAGACCCTCTGAAGGAATTTTTGTTTTTGTTGTTGTTTTGTTTTTAAAGATTTATTTATTTACACATACAAGAACTGGGGTGTAAGCCAGAGGTGCGGGCAGTGAGAGGATTCACCAGAGACCGAGTGGGGAGCCAACAGGCAGATGTACTGAAATACACTGCTGAGGGGAGCAGCAGGAGAGGCAGGAGAGGTCTGCTGCACCATGTGAGTTGCTCCCTGGATCTAACTCAAGCTGCAGTGGCTGCTGATAGCTTGATAGCATTGTCTTTAATCCCTGGGCCACTGAAGGAATTTTTGATGTGAGTATCCATAGTTAATGGTTTGTAGAGAAAGAAGTGAAAAGTGATTCAGATTAAGTGTTTTTGGTAAACTAACAAGAGTGTCTGACTAAAGAAATGCTTCAGTCTATGTTTCAAAGAGAAAAATGGAGTATTAGGAAAGTATTAAATGTAGTAAAATGTCAGAAACATTTACCAATGGGTGACAATGCAACCTAATTTTATGCAGGACTACAACCCTGCATCTTCTTTTTATAAATCCTTTGTGAGGGTTAATGAGAACAATCAATCTGGTAACACTTCTTGTCTCCCTTTCTTTCTCTCTCCTTTGATAGAGGTATTTGTATGAAGGTTTGTGTCATATGGGTATGTCTGGTGCACTGATAGGATAGGTCCTACAGGAGAGTAGCTGTAGAATACTGGGAACCTTAGGGAAAAGATTCCTGAAGTTAGAAAAGCATAGAAATGATAAGAAAGTCACAGCTGTTATAGAGGAGACATGATTTCAGTACTTATGGTACAGAAGTTTAGGATCAGATAGATGATAAGGAAAACATGGGATATATTTCTGTTGATCATACCTGCAGGTCACTTAGTAGTAACTAGTATCGAATCAATAAATATTATTTGTATCATAATGCTCACCCCAGACTGGGTGTCATATAGAAACATTTTCAGAGACCTAGGAGATAAAACATAAACATGCCAGGGGTCTTCATAAGACCTCCTATATGCCCTTTAATGACCCTATATATTTCTATTTTTTTAAAGATTTATTTATGCATACAAGAGCTGGGGTTTAGGCCAGAGGTGTAGGGAAGTTAAGAGAATTCACCAGAGACAGAGTAGGGAGCAGAACATGCAGACTGACTGAAATACACTGCTGAGAGTAGCAGTGGGCTTGACAGGAGAGATTTGCTTTGCCATGTGGATAGCTCCCTAGCCTGCCGGGGATTGAACTCATGCTGCAGAGACTGAGGATAGCTTCACAGTGCTGTGCTTAACCCCTTGTGCCACCAGGGAGGTCCAACCTTATATATTTCTAAATGTTATCAACAAATATTAGTAATAATAAATATTGGTAGATATTATCATTGTTCCTATTTACATCCCGTTTCCTGTTATCACTAATTTTATATTAGGGACAGTGAGAAAATAGGCATAATTTTTATTTTATTTATTTAATCATTCATTTGTTTATTTATTTATTTAAAAAAGATTTATTTATACAAGCACTGGGTACAATCAGAAGTGCGGGAAGGTGAGAGAACTCACCAGAGCCAGAGTGGGGAGCAGAACAGGCAGACTGACGAAGTACACTGCTGAGGGGAGCAGCGGGCACGGCAGGAGAGGTCCACGCCCCATGTGGGACCCTCGCCGGTGGCCGGGGATCAAACCAGCGCTGCGGAGGCTGCAGAGGCTGCAGAGGCTGCGGGCAGCTTCGCAACCCAACATTGAACCACTGCGCCACCGTGGAGGCCCAGGCATAATTTTTAAATTATGCAAATGTTTTAGTAGATTTCTCTAAAGAGGAAAGAAATTCATATGTATAGGCAAGGAACTTAATTGTCATTATTGGGCGTTATGTATTGTGCTTTGCTACAAAAATGAATTTCTGAACTCTGATTTTTTTAAAAGATTTATTTATTTATGCATACAAGAGCTGAGGTACAGGCCAGAGGTTTGGGGGGTGAGAGGATCCATCAGAGACAGAGTGGGGACCAGAACAAGCAGATGACTGAAATACACTGCTGAGGGGAGCAGCAGGTAAAACAGGAGAGGACTGCTGTGCCATGTGGGTCAGCTCCCTGATCAGTCATCGAACTCGTGCTGCAGTGGCTGCAGATTGCTTCATAGTGCTGCGTCTTAACCCCATGCGCCACCAGGGAGGCACTGACCTATGATTTTATTATCATAGAATTAACTTCTTGCTAACAGTCATTGTCTGCTTATCTCACCATTCGATATTTTCTTTCCTTTTTTTTATTTAAATATTTTATTTTATATAATTCTTACATCTTTTTTCATCTTTGCACAATGTATGCATTTTCATTTTGGTTATATTCCCCATATAATTGCACCCCCCCCTTATTTTGACTCTAGTCCTTCCTTTTCCCACCCCCCACCACCCCCCTCCCGTAGTGTGTCTCTGGCTTATAGTTGCTTGTTGATTTTGATTTTTACTTTGTATTGATTAGTCTTTTTCCTGGTCTCTTATTTAGGTTTTCTAAATTCCTGCTATGAGTGAGACCATCCGGTATTTTTCTTTTTCTTTCATTTGATATTTTCTTGATCATGAATATCATCTCTATCCATTCTTCCTATATAAGCAAATAAATACTTTACTCCTCTTTCCAGGCAAGTTGAAATTTCCAAAAGATGATGAAGAAATTCTTTTCCTTCTAATTTTTTTTGGCCCTTTTAATCTTTCCCTCCACTCCCAGCAGGAGGTAGTCATAAAAACGCGTCAAGACAACTGTGGAGCCTGCATGATCATAGCTATGATATATGATCACGTTATACACCCATTCAAAGTCCTCTAGTTCAGGGCCAAGGTGGGTGATGTCACATAGCCTGTGGACTTCCTTCTTCCTGGACTAGTTTCTCTGCTGTGCAAAGAACAGGAAAGGAAAGAAAGATGAGTCCACTGTAATTCTTTTTTTTTTTAAAGATTTATTTATTTATATAAGAACTGGGGTGCAGGCCAGAGCTGGGGGAGGGGTGAGAAAATTCACCAGAGACAGAGCAGGGAGCAGAACAGGCAGAAGGACCAAAATACACTGCTGAGGGGAGCAGGGGGAGAGACAGGAGAGGTCAGCCATGCCATGTGGGAATCTCCCTCGCCTGCTGGGGATCGAACCAGTGCTGCAAAGGCTGTGGACAGCTTCACAGCACTGCGCTCAACCTGATGCGCCACAAGGGAGGGCTGCAATTCTTTTTTTTCCCCAAGATTTATTTTTATTTTTTATGCGTGTAAGAGCTGGGGTCTAGGCCAAAGGTGTAGGGGGGTGAGAGGATTCATCAAAGAAAGAGTGGGGAACAGAGCAGGTGGATGAACTGAGATATGCTGCTGAGGGGAGCAGTGAGCTAGACAGGAGCGATCTGCTGGGCTATGTGGGTTAGCTCTTTGGCTGAGGATCCAACTAGTGCTGCAGTGGCTGGCAACAGCTTGATAGTGCTGTCTTTAACCCCTGCTTGGCCAGGGAGACCCCTGTTGTGTTTTGTATTGTTATTATATTTTATATTAGCAACATGAACAAGAGTAGAAAACTTTACATTACTCATTTTTCTATTTAAACTTGAATTTTCTTTCTACTTCTGCCACAGACTTATCTAAATTAATATACATTATGTGTGAATAGCTTTTATTGATCACTAGCATATTCTCTGCAACAAATTCCATACATAAATTTAAATTTAATTATTGGGCTTCCCTGATGCAGGAGGACTTAAGTCTCAGCGCTATCACCAGTGAGGCTATCACCAGTTTGATCCCTGGCTAGGGAGCTAAATCTCACAGCACTGCAGACCTCTCCTGTCTCACCCGCTGCTCCCCTCAGCAGTGTATTTCAGTCAATCCACCTGCTCTACTCCCAACCCTATATCTGGTGAATCCTCTATCCCTTTTCCCCCTTCCTCCACATCTCTGGCCTACAAATCAGGAAAGAAAGAAAGAAAGAAAGAGAGAGAGAGAGAGAGAGAGAGAGAGAGAGAGAGAGAGAGAGAGAGAGAGAGAGAGAGAGAAGAGAAGAAGAAAGAAAGAAAGAGAAAGAAAGAAAGAAAGAAAGAAAGAAAGAAAGAAAGAAAGAAAGAAAGAAAGAAAGAAAGAAAGAAAGAAAGAAAGAAAGAAAGAAAGAAAGAAAGAAAGAAAGAAAGAAAGATAAATCTTTTAAAAATACGTAAATAAGGCCTCCTGGTGGCGCAAGGGGTTAAGATGCAGCACTACGAAGCAATCTGCAGCCACTGCAACATGAGTTTCCTCCCCAGCCAGGGAGCTGCCCACATGGCGCATCAGACCTCTCCTGTCTTGCCTGCT